GATGCACACGACATACGTAACACGTCTGAACCTGAATGTGACTCTGCCTTGATACGACTGCTCTGCCGCTCGGCATAGGCATTTAATTGCGAATTGACCAATGAGGGCTCCTGTTTTACGTCGAGACGGCGGCGTTAGCGTGAAAATCACCGAACCTTTTGTTTACATCCGGTCTATCTCTTATCTGAATATACTGTAAATAAAAATAAGTAAATACAGAGGAATAAATTCTATCAAGATTTATTCTCACTATTCGTACCATTTTTTTGCATACCAAGTGAGTTAATATTTTATTATTAGACGATTTTTTATGTTATTATACTTGTTGTTGTTTTATCTGAATATCACAATGTCTTCCTTAGGTGTTCCAGTGATGTCATCTTCCCGTCTGAACATGTCCGTCCCAAACAAAATCATCATAACAGACCTGCAGGAAGATGATTCCGGACCATACACTTGCGTTGCCTCTTCCCGGTTCGGAAAAGCTGTATGGACTGGGTACCTTTTGGTGGCGAATCCCAAGAATCCAAACATCAACTTCTTCAAAGCTCCAGAAGCAGCTATGTTACCTGGTGCGCCTGGTAGACCACATGCCCTCAACCAATCTGAAGGAAGCGTGACCATCACGTGGGGGCTAATAACAAAATTGGGTCTTCTAGTCTCTTGGGGTATGTATTTGTAATAATGATAATTTATTCAGATCAATTACACATTGTGAACAAATGCACAAAAGAAAATATTCTTGTCTGTGGATATTGACACAATATACATAATATGACATAGCAGTTATAATAAACTGAATAATCTATATATAATACCTACATTAATTTTGAATCGTAGACTAACAAGAAGAGAGATATGTGTCACTTTCTTATAAATTACATCATGTTTATACCAGTTTTCAAAAAGCCACTCATATACATCAATTTTTAATAATGATATTTGTTTTTTTATAATATATTTTGTAAGTTACGATATAATTTTGGACCTAAGTATATAAAGATTTTAGTATTATTCCTTTCTTTGATGTTGTAATAATTATTTGATTATTTTTATTCTAATATCATATTCATAATTTTATAAATGGTCGAATGTTTGTTTTTATGGAATTCTAGTATAACCTTCCACCAAAATAATTTTTTTATATCTAAAAGTTTTGATTCTATAAACAGTGATTTGGAGGACTAGAGTAAAAAGTTTATTGTGAATTGCTTTCATAAATAGTTTTTGTATTACTTATAAAAAATTTAGATGGTTATTATTCGTGGATTTCAGATAATAATTCAATAGGTTATGTATCATTTAACTAATGTTTCGTATAAGATTATTAATTATATAATAGAAATCTAAGTTTCTTTTTAATGTATTGGATATGTTCATCCCAACGAAGATGACAGTCTAAAACAATATATTTATGACTTAAATAACGCGATACATATTCATTCTGGAGATTTGTTTTCTTTATATTTAGCTGATTATATAGCGGTAATTTATTTATGTAAGACGTGAAGGGTATATTTTTTTTTATAATAAATAGTTAACAACTAATTATCAAACCACTCTGTTATCTGTACTAAATCTTTCTTTATTTCTTCTTTTAATTTTGTCCAAGTTGTAGCTTTATGGAAGATCTGCAAATCCTATTTTTTAACTTTTTGTTGATGGATTATATAAGTTGATATACAGGGTAGCCCATCCATGTGTGGACGGAATATTACTCATAAACAAATACTTTTTTTTGAAAATCTATTTATGAGATGTTATACATGAAATTTGAGGGCACATTTCTAAAATATTTGCCATTATACAGGGTGTCCCAATTTCGACCTACATATCAAAGTTGTGATTTTTAAAATGGAATGCCTCAAATTTTATTGCATATTTGGATAAACCAATTCAAAAGAAAAAATTGATACAAGGAGAGATATAAGGTGTTTTGTCTAGAAAACCCCCCACTCCGACAACCCCTCAGACCGCCATTTTGAAATATGGAGTGCTGAATTTTGTATAAAAAAAAACACACACACACACACCTCAGCTTTTATCTTATTTATTACTTTTTCGAATTTTAACTTTTGCTCATACAGGGTGGTCAAAAACGCAAAGCTGAGGTGTGTAAGTTTTTTTTTGATACAAAAATCAGCACTCGAAATTTCAAAATGACGGATTGAGGGGTTGCCGACGTATATTAAAAAGAAGGGGCGCAAGTATTGTCCTTGTGGAACTCCATACATTACACTCATTGATGCAAATATGAGCTTTTGTTGTTGTATAATGGATGGATACAATTTCCATTTTTCCTCTAGGTACCAGGTAGAGCTGTTTGGACGGGAGGAGAACGTTACTCCTACGTGGACTGTGGTTGGCCGAAGAGTTCCAGGACCTTCTTTTACACAACACCTTTTGACTGCAGGGGTGCCCTACACATTCTTAGTTCGTGCTGAGAATGCACATGGAGTAAGTAAAAATACCATTTTTAAAATTTTTCTCGCCATATTTTTGTCTTAAGGTGTTTGCTTGCGGTGTATTCTCTCATAGACATTGAATCATCGTGTACATTGTAAGCCACATTCTCAGCTATTCAATGTATTGATCTTTTTGCAGATTGGACCACCATCTCAGCTATCTGAACCCATTGTCGTGGGCCCCGATTCGACTCGAAATTGGGGAAACCCAGAAGTGACAGTTTTGAGTGAAGCCAGAGCCAACTTGATGGCAACAGATGTGGTGAAGCTGGTCGAAGGTATTGCTTTATCCTCCACAGCAATCAAAGTTAGCTGGATGATATCCGATTCTACGTACGTTGAAGGACTGTACATTTACTATGTATCATTGAATGCGGAGAGCAGTAATCCTAGAGGTTGGTATCTGTTATATTGCTATATTGCTATTTGCTTTACTTTATTTCCTCAAATAATAATTTTCAATCTCGCAAATACTTGCCAAGAAAAACATCGAATATTTCTGGTTACGTTTGTCTTGTTAGTAGTCTTTGAATACATGTAATATTTTATACAGGGTGTTCGCTTGAAATCCGTCCACCATGGATTCATCGAAAAACACTGATTAAAAGAGAAAACGCTGAGACACGTCAAAAGATTTGTCAAGTTATACATTTTTTGAACAAAAACTACTTCTACCCTCTTTCAGCCTCTGCCCCCCAGGGTCGTCCACTTAAAAATTTTAAATGACAAGGGGTATCGAGTAATAGCTTGTTTGAAAGGTCTTTCGAAGTGCTTTATTTAACGTTTGATTTTTTAAAATTGTTGATTCGGTTTCGAGATAATTAGAAAAACATTTGACCTCCAAATTTGACAGATAAAAAACAAAAATATACGAAATTATCACTTTTTATTTCAATAAATATTCAAAATGTTGCCCGTTATTGTCCAAACAATGATATAGGCGATGTTCAAATTCCTGACGGACATTTACAAAAACATGTCTTTCGGCTGTGTGTAACCATTTGGGAAGTAATATCTGAATCAATAAATTAATTTTCACTATCCCAAAGATTGTCACGAAGGTAACAACAAATTAAATTATTTCTTTCCCTTAGCACAAATAACTAAACAGGTATAACAATTAATACAGTTCGCCAAGGATGAAAAGGATGCGGAAAAAAATTCGTGTTGTTATTTGGTTGTTGCCACGTTTAATTTTTCGAATTGCTGTTTATGTTAGTAGTTTCCGTTTCAAATTATAAATGAATTGTATATTTGGCAAACCCTAACGGGCAACATTTTATAGACTTATTGAAATAAAAAGTGATATTTTAAATTAAGATAAATAAATATTTTTCTAATTTTCTCGAAAACGAATTGACTGATTTAAAAAAATCAAACGTCCAAATTAAGGACGTCGAAAGACCTTTCAAACAAGCTGTTTACTTGATACTCGTTGTCATTTAAAATTTTTAAGGAAGTAGTATTTGTTTAAAAAGTTGTCCCTCTTGATAAATCTTTTGATGTGTCTCGGCATTTTTTCTCTAATTCAGTGGTTTTGATGAACCAGTTTTCAAATAAACACCATGTATAGAAAATTCGTGCTCGCTTTGAAATATAGAACTAAAATATCCATAGGTACTGATTAATTTTTTGCAAATACAATAATTTCGCGGGGTTCTGTTATTAAATGAAATTCTTTTTTCGTTAACAATTTCGCTTGATTCACAGAATTGAAACTGTTGTATATTATTAACTCCTGAAACAGAATGTTAATCAGTCGAACACAACTAAATTGTTTTCAAATATTGGACGATTTTTTATTATATATTGATACCGATTCACTAATATTTCATCCATCCGACCAACCGAGGCCCAATCATGTGAAGCGCTGTTTCGTGCTTATCGGCAATCGTCAGTACGGCTTAGATATCTGAATGAGGATACTTTTGACCTGCTTTCGTTCGGTGTTCGCCGTAGAGATCTATAGACTGTGCAGATGATTCCCATTAAGCATGGTACAGCCCTGTATACGATTGGCTGTATGTGATCAGATGAACACACATTATTAGATTTCAATGGCAAGTAGACCATTATCTGCTATATCGCCAGAATCGACGGCATTCAACGGTCCTAGTGATGATTAGATTGTCAGTGCAAATTGACATACCTCTACAATTCCAACAGGCAGCTTGAGTTTAAGAGTCGTCGATTTTGGCTATAGATGGCATTTGTGTAGTTTATAGAGAAATATTATTTTTTCTCAGCCATTACAACTGAAACTATAGTTTAAAGAATAATTTGTGGTTTTATTGTAACTTTTAGGTTATAGCATGCTGACGGTATTACACACAGGAGGATCTTCCAGTTTTTACGGTCAACAATTTAGAAAAATGGTCTAGCTACCAGTTCTTTTTGGTGCCTTTCTTCAAGACTGTAGAAGGATTTCCTTCTAATTCAAGACAATAAAAACCTTAGAAGATGGTAAGTCCAAGCTGTTGATCATAAAATGTGTCTTAAAACGTACCTAGCAATTTTGACTTTAAATAACTCCTCCATGCTTGTTTATAACGTGAGTATGTATACGCATGAGAGATATGATTTTGTTTCAATAAAAGATTAAGATGAAACAATGGACGTATTTTATTTCATTTCACGATTCAAGATACAAACCAGTCAGTTACATAAAGGCCACCCTGTATAAGCGTAAACTTACAACGTTTAATTTTCAGTTCCTCGGGAACCGCCCTCACATATGGAAGCCTTGCTACTCAACTCTACCACGGTGTTTCTCAAATGGAGATCTCCAGCCTACGGATTAAATGGAGAATTGCAAGGATATAGGGTGGAAGTGAGAACCAATGGCACGGATGTCGTCAAAGGGATAAACGTGAACAAAACACCGAACCTGATGCTAAACAACCTGACAGCAGGAGTGTCATATTACGTCAAAGTGGCAGCTATGACTAAAGCTGTGTCGGACCTTTCAACTCTGAGGCTACCTTGAGGCTTGAACCTGCCTCTAGGGTGACAGATAATACTAGAAGGTAGGTATATTAAAACATCATAAGAATCATGCTATACACCGTTCGTAGTCCATTGACACCCAGACAAAACACAACATGCCCAAAGCGAGATTGTACAGGTCCGTATTTTGAGTAAACCATAGAACGTGGTGCTTCTGAAAGTAGGTAAGTCTTCAATCACTATCAACCTCCTGTAATACTTTGTCTATGGTGGGAAGTTCCTGTCTTTCAAAAAATTGATGGACTTTGCGTCTGATGATATTCCGATCAAAGTTATCAACTGTATCCGAAAGCTTCGTGTAATGCACCCTGTTGTGTGGTGGAGACCATTTTTTGTTTTTTATATTCTTTAATAATGTTGAAAATTGTCTTAGGACATAAGCCTGTTTTTGTCCGCCACACGTCTTCCAATATCATGAATTCTCATTTCATTTCAAATGCGCCTTCTTGTCACGTTTTCTGGGAAGAGACATCCTGGTTGAAGAAAGCATTGAGAGAATATTCTCAGTTTCATCGGCTGTATCCGTAGACAACATGCTATCGTATAAATACACGCTATGTATGTGTTACCGGTAATCTGTATAATTCAGGTATTCCTTACAATACCTAGGCAATGTGTATGGAATACCTGGGCGTATTATGCAATGTATGAAATATTATGAATATTGTTACTTTACCTAGGTAATGAATACAATTCCTAGGGATTGTATACAGTACGTGCTGTTCCACCGACAATGTGTAAAATAAATAGATGTTGGTCTAAATTTATATTAAAGTAAATATTTCTTTAACTTTCCTGCTGAGATCGTGGTGTGAACGTCGCACCCTTTATAGGGATCATTGACAAAATTCGATATTTTAAAAACTAGTGGTCCTATTTGAATTCTGTAAACGCAGGACGATTACTTATTTAAGTAGCTTTCTAAAGTATGACAAAATTATTTAAAATAATAAGAAGGGGTGGGGGAGCAGGCGGGACGCATTCCGCATAAATCGTTTTTTTTTTAAAGTCAAAATATTAAGTTGATGATCTCGAATAAATTGGGATAAGGTAGGATATTATTATAGCATTCTTAAGAGAGACAAAAAGTCACGCTTTTATTTTTCAAGATCTTTACCGAATGATTTTAAAAGATAATGTAGCCAACTTGTGGCGGGCGCAATATGATTTATTAAATTTGTCTAAATATTTGAAAAAATAATAAGAGTAATTCAAATAAAAAATAAATCTGTAATAATTTGAAATTGATATTTAGGTTTTTATTTAAAAAAATATATTTAACAAAATAACATTACTTAGTAGGTAATGTATGAAATAATAATATAAACTATATTAAAAAATAACACCAAATATACCCATTCTAATCGGATAGGATTTCTTGCTCGGTGCTGTGTCATTCGTTATTGTACCTAAGTCAATACCTAAATCATCATTTTCTTGCTTTTTAAATAGTTCTGAACTGCCTCGTTGCATTTATTGTATTTTTTTGAGCTCACCTTTCTTTTTGAGGATATAAAAGGATCAGAAGTAAGTAAAAGAACACGCATGAGCTCCTTATTCGTATCTGTTCTTGAACATTTTCTGGTGTGAGATAATCGATGTTTCCTAACCTCTTTATGGCGAGCCTCAAGCGCATCCTCCGACAGTTCTCCAATGGGCAAACAAAATGCATCAATTATCTCACACCCATGAAAAAGGACCTTATGTACCGTGTTTGGCATGTTGTACCACTTACAAAGGTGGATATACAAATTTCTTGCTTCTTCCAGCAATGACGCAAACTTTTCCATATCAATAGCGCAACCACTAGCTAACACTCCTAAGATGATCGCAAATTTCTCGATTAATTCCCTGTCACCCCTGTGATATCTGAACTTGTTTGTGGATTGTGGAAAAAAATTCTGGCCGTATTGCCATCATTTGAGGAGCCATACCCGTGTTTTGGTTTGTCAACTATTAGAGACAGCTTGGCTCTGAACTCTGCTTGGATTCGTTTTTTGTTTGTTTCGATCATAGCTTTGTTTTCAGGCCCACGAACCTGCCAAGATTTAATTGGCAGGCGGTATCCAATATGGAGTAAGCATTCAAAAAAACGAATCCAGCAGTGTAAAGTTGCCAAACCAAACCGGTAATTGTCTACGTTCGGAGGATGGTTAATTCCTGCTAACGTGTTCATGTCCTTGGGTGTGGCTCCGCAAATGATGCACTTCATAGTTGAATTTGTCTCTGATAGAACATTTCCAACACTGCCGTCCAACATTATTAACATCACATCAACTTCAATTATATAAGAGTGCCCTTCTTTTGTTTTAATCTCAATAGAAATCAAATTTTAAATATTTGTTATTATTTCCTTTCCGTATTCCGCACTAAATCAGCATTTTCCTTTTTAAATAAAAACTTGATCGGCCTACAATATAAAGTAGATGAAGAGCTCTCATTTTTCCACAATACCTTATTCGTTTCATATCAATCAATCTGAGTGGCGTCATTGCTACAAGAAACAGAAATTCGTCGGTGTTTTCTAAATCAGAAAATTTCTGCTTATATTGGCTATGCCCAGAACTGCCATCAATCCCCACTTGCATATCACTTTAATATCCGGCAATCTCTCTCTTCAAAATTTATTATTTCAAGGATACTTTCAGCTGTTTTCTGTAGAAGTTCTTGCAAATCAACTTCTGCAGAAATTTCAGTAATAATAAATTGTGCATTTTTTGTTTTCTGCAATTCTTTATAACTAGGAAGGCAGTTCTGGGCCTTACCATTAATAACAGACCTAAGTAGCAAATACTTTCTTACGGATATATCCAAATCTACCATAAGGGCTAAAGCTTCAGCTGTACTAAAACTAAAAATTTGTGGCGAGACCTCACTGTGATTGCTTCCAGAAACGACATTTACAGCAAATTGAAGTTCATTTGCAGATCTGTCTGTGGTTAGTTCGGCTACACGTCTTCGTTTTGTGTTCTTCGATGCCTCTTCAAATGGCACCCATGGCCGTCCAACTGAGCGACAAGGAGGTTCTTGTTCCTCATCCGAAGATGTGTTTTCTTCAGAATCATTATTTATTCTATATATACTCTTGTCTAACTAATATACCTGATTTTGTAAAAGTCGATTCCGAGATGTCCTACTTTCTGCCATTTATTTGCCATTTTCAACCCAAACAACTGGCTGCATTTCATAATATTACTTTTAAGATGTTTGGAAGGTTCATCTGTTATATCAATAAGAGATAATATCTTTTCATAAACCACATGTTTTCTGTTTCCTCTCGGCGCTTCTATCCACACATCAATCAAATCTCTATTTCTGACAATAGCACCATGTCCTAAAAAAAATTATATCTCCTTAGACGTGGCATGACGTGATTTAAAACTTTTTATCAAAACTTACTATGGACAGATAAACAATAAATAAAAAATTTTTAGGGTGATGGAAGGTGATTTTTGTAAAACTCTAAACAAAGTCAAAAGTTTAAAAAAAATTAAAAAATCGGTAATAGTCACTTTAACTTAAAAAATTATCTAATTATAATTATATTTTAAATAAATCTACACATCAATATAATGTACTTACCAGCATCATTACCAGCCATATTGGAAAAGTTAAAATATTTAAATATTTCGACACAAAATTTATATCTTTCCCGAGCAATAAAACAGAGAGATTTTTCGCCTTCTTGACAGGTCTCGGCATGTCTAACTTTAAAGTTGCTAAATAGGTAAATCGCAGCCAACTTGATTAAAGTACTATACTTACGTGTTGCAGTGACTATTTATCTATCCAATGTATAATAGAAGCAACTGAATTCTAGTGTCAAAATTATGTTTTTGAGTAATTTTGTCCATTGGGCGCCACACTGTGCGTCGTTTCATTAACTTCCAGATTCTGGGATATTAGACCCCCAAACACCAGTTTATGGAATTATCCTTTTTATTGCTACCTTACGTTTAGTTGTTTCGGTTTGGGTATGGGATTTTAACCTTTAGCGCGGGAAGGCACAGCGAAGAACCACCATTCACACCTCTCCAATTTTGTTTTGTAGCTGCTTTGTAGCTGTTTTGTTAGAAGCCACCTCTTCCGCTTGAGCTAAACCTGTTCCTCGTTCTCGTCTTTGACGTACATTACCGACTGCGCATTCGGTATTGTATAGAATGACCAGGCAAAGTATAAAACAAATAATATTTCATACATTACCTACACGTTTTAGGTATTCTATACGTTACCTAGGTGCTTTATAGAATACCGGTAACATATGCATAGAATATGAACAGCAACTGCCGACATCGGCGTGCCGGCGATAGCCCGAGTCTGAGTTCTATTCTGTCGAATCGTGCACTTGTTCGTAGTTGACCAATAGTTATTGCAACGCTCAGGCCGCTGCCGCGCTGCATCTTTGTTGTGCCGGGCGTAAATGAACTACGAATAGGGTATAGATTTAAAATTGTTTGACTTATTTCGGATTTCATTTCAGGCCTTTGGATCGCCATCCTTCAGGGGACTTCATAACCGAGACGTGGTTCATGGCGCTCCTAGTATCCATGGTTGTCAGTGATGGTGTTCCTATTTGTAGCCATGATGCTAGTACGTAGACGCCAGTTGGCTAACGGAAAGAAGAGCTTAACTCCAAGGACAAACGGGCATATTTTGAAGGGAGATGGTGCTCCATCGCAACCTCCGCCTTTATGGTTAGACAAATCCACTGTTCCTGAGTACACTGCAAATGGCGATAGAAGCACTCCGTTGCCGGACTATGCCAGAGCTTGTGCTGGTATCAGAAGGGACAGTAAAACGTAAGTGCCTTTTATAATATGTTCTTAGTCAAAGTAAAACTATTTGCTTTTTCCATAGAAAAATTAAATGATGAGTAACAAAGCTGTTAGAGCCAACAATTAGCGTAGATTAGGAGGAGACAAGCTTATATGTTTACATTACGTTCTTTGTTGCCAAATTCCTTTGTAAATTTTATACAATACAAAAGTAGGGCAGTCATTCAAATTCCTACATCAGCAATTGACAAGTGATAAACAGGAAAGTATCTAATATTGCACAATCGGTAAGATTATCGATATGTTATAACTTTTAATATACGCAAATATTTTATTCTTATTTTAAAATGAAACCTTACGAAAATATCATTTTTTCTTTAAGGAACCCTCTACCTGCTATTTTATAGAACCTTAAAGTTGCATTTTTGGCGGTAATACTCTAGAACAGAATACTGATGTATACGCTATTTTTTTGCTTCTTGTACCAAAGGATGCTCTAAATATACGAGTAGCATACACTGTATAGTACTAAGGAAAATAGATGTGAAACTGGTGGTTTTTCAAAGAAAAAGTTAAAAACTAGCCATATAATAAGCTGAAATGACAGTTCCACATACATACCTTTAGCGTATAAAGGCCAAAATTCTTTTTTTGTGGAGCTAGAAAAAACATTGTTTTTGCAAAAAAAGAAAAGGTTCAAAACTAGCCGTGTAATAAACTAAATAAAATTGAAAATACAAACCGTTAATAATGGTATTTAATTAGTAAACGGTGTAGAGGTGTTGTGTTGACAATTCTTAATGTCTTCTTGAAATTCCTTAACCATTTTGTTTCGCGTATTCCCAATGAGATCAAAGTTTTTGCGTTTATAAGAAATATTTGAAAGCACAAATAATTCTCAATGGGCATCTTATAGCGTTCGTTTCTTGACAGATACGATAAATGATGTGCATTGTTGCCAAGTTGTACTTTTTTGTGGGAGAAATACGTAATTAAAAAATGAGGTTATTTGCAAATAAAACTGTTAATTATTGTGAAAGGATGTTTTTTATAAGAATTTATCCCAATATTTACTGAAAATTAGATGAAATTTTGAACAGTACACGTTTAAACAGTGGAAAATGCTCGCGTGTCATAAAAATAAAAAAGGCACCAGCGGTCATTTAATTTAATTAGGTATATTTTGTGACATCAGCTTCACTTTAAATAATTTTCCAAGTACGTACATACAAAAAGTTAATAGATATAGAATATAACCGAAGCATTTTTTGAAAGGGCAAACGGCATTCTCAAGAAAGTGTATTAGCTAAACGCTATCGTAGGACATGAGGTAGATTTATTATAGTAACATGGCCACACCTCCAAATCGCATTATAATGACAATCCTGTGCCGATTGCACATTTGTGTACATAGTGTAAGTAAGAATTTGACAAACCAAATCAAGGTATATTACTATCCATGATTTGGCAACATCGCAACTAGAAGCAGAAATTATGATAGTGATGGTGGTATAGTGATGGGAAGAAATGACTACTAAAAATCTTATATTTTCATCATTAGAATAATGCAAAACTGCATTGTTGCGATGAACAGCATCACAGTAATATACAGTGTATTTTATATTCATATAATTTTGAGCATTCTTTTGTGTAAACAAGAAAAAACGAGCTTGTACGAAAAAATGATATTTTCGTACAAGTCACATCCTAATCTTTCATTTTAAAGTAAGAAATGAGATATTCGCGATATGCGCTAGAGTATAGTTCAGCCCCTTTGACTCATTTGATGACGTTGCATCATACAATAATAATACTCGCTGGTTGAAAGATCTACCTTCATTAGACTTGTGCCACCCTTAGCAAACTATGCAAGTAGTATCTTGTCCAGAAATTGCGTAACTCCACAATTGAAGCGTTATATTCCCAAAGGGTCTAAGTGCGAAAATTTTACTTCCGAGAAAATGAAGAAATAAGATATTCTTGTGATGTAGCGATGTCAAATAAAACAAAAAAATATGAAAGTAAATTTATTCGATTGAAACATCAGGTTATTTAACATTTTACGAAAAAAGGTAGCAAAAATAAACGAAATATATTTTGGAACACAAAATAAAATATTAAATTTTTAGAAGGTCCTATGTCTAATGCATCGTGTCATTGTAAAAGGGTCTATGTGAAACCAGTAATTCCATTCAAAATGTTTACTCTGGATTGTTTTGCTTGGTTTTTTCGATGATACCGGTATAACATGAGATATATGCAAGTGGTATGTAATCTAACATGTCTTCTAAATTTTTGGCCTTTTCCTGAGATATGCGGTTTTTGCAATCTAACTGTTGCAACGGTGTTGTTTTAAGGTCACTCAAAGTTTTGCCTCGTTTTAAAACGTTACAAGAGGTCCATTCTTCCATTTCGTTAAACGTTGTTTTTGTTCTGACTAAAGTTGGATTTTTCTTAGAAACTTCTATCCAACAAGCTTTGGATATATTCAGTTTGGTCGTGTTTAAAAAGCTATCGGAAATCTCTTGAAGATTTTTAAAATCTTCTCTATTCATACGAATGACATTGAATGGATTTTTATGTTGTGCACTCCTAATCATTTTTTCAAGATGAACCGGTACGTAGTTTTTTGTGACTCTTTTACGACGCTCAATCTGCGCAAAGTCCCTATCACATGCCAAATAGGAATGCCCGGAAACTAAAAATTTCTGTTCAATTTTTTCAACCTTCCATTATGGACCAAATATATGAACAAAAAAAGCAACATTTTGTTAAGTTAAGGCACTTTAAAAGGGCAGATCCAATTTCATTAGCTCCTCTACCTGTTATGGATTCGTCCCAAAGACACATATGAGCAGTTCCAGTATCAGATATGTGTATTCCTAGATTATAGCATGAAAGCTGTCTGCTATAAAACATCTGCGTATGTGTAAGTGTTGGCAAAAATAAAACTTGCTCTAAATCTATAGACATCATGCTAATGCTGGCCGGCGGGATTTGTGACAAATTACCGTCTTTTTCCATTTCTAGTCTAGCCTTTTCCGCCTTTCTGTGGTGTAGGTCAAGTTTCGCTTTCATCTCATCCTTTTCTGTTTGATTTTGTGCATAACTTATTTTATTTTTGTAAAGATCGCAAACTGAGCAAGTGTCCGTTCTGGGGCGACCAGGCCACTATATTTCAGTCGTTTCATTTCATTCTTTTTATTTTCAGACCCTGGGGCACGTCGCTTTGGGTTGTTTACTTGATTTTCACTCATTGTTTATTATTAAATGCACGTAATAATATTACGCCTGTACTCGGCGCTTAGACCCTTCTCAATGAACAAGTCACGACCGAGTACGAGAACGCCATTTATCAAATGGGGAGATTAAATACATTTTCGTCGAATATGTACTTGGACCCTTTTCTAATGCATGCATTAAAGCATGTAGATCTTTTTGGAGGAAAAATATGAAATTCAGAAATATTGGCACTTAGACCCTTTGGGAATACCACGCTTCAATTATCTGCAAACACTCGCGTTTTTAAAAAATAACACTAAAAACTAACTTAATAATAATAATAACTTTATTTCCGGATGACACACAATAATTAGAAGTATCGGAATTGTCAATTTCAGGTATATTATGTATATATAAAACAAACACGTAGAATGACTGACATATCATCCCAATGTGAAACAAACGTTAATGAATTCAAAAGAGAACATCACTCAAATACACAGTTGAAATATTCCTCAATGCTATAGAAAGCGTAATTCAAGATAATAGTCCCTACTTTGCCTTAAAAAGAGAGACATTTGGTATGGTTTTTATACAATTTGGTAACCTGTTGTACCACTTTATGGCCATAATATTGGACCATTTTGAAGCTGGAGACAGTCTGTGTGGGGGTATAAGTACATCTTCTGTCTGGTGTAATTCATAACATTGAATATATCTCCTATTCATGCAGAAAGAACTTAAATTTTCTTTAATATAGACAAAGCATCTGTAGATATAAATAGAGTGAACTGTCATGATGTTCGATCGTTTAAAGAGCTCTCTACACGGGTAGCGCCAATGCTTAGAAGCTATCAATACTTTTTTTCTGTATTATAAACATTTCACTAATGCGAGAGCAATTCCCCAAGCAACTATGCAGTAGCTAAGGGCCGACAGGATATACGAAAAGTAGTACAGATGCGAAATTCAACACTTTCAAAATTGCGGAGTTGAGAAATAACACAGCAGTGCTTCGACAATTTATTAAGAATTACATCAACTTGCTTATTTCAGTTTAATATGCAAGCCTAAATAATTAAATTAGAGTATTGACACACACTTCTACTGTTGCATGTGACTTACAGACTACGAGATCTTTTAATTTAATTTTTTTAATGATAAAACGGTGAAAACACATTAAATTATTAACTGAGAATTTGCTCCTTCCATCAGATCTGAACTCGCTGGTTAGTTGAAGAATATGCCCACTATATGCTTTATCACTTTTCGTCCTTAACGCTCTTCAATGCTGCTTCACTGCTTCGGTATAAGAGGTCTTAACAATATGCAACTTTCAGTTTGACAAATGGTTCTGTTCCCGAGTACCACGGAAGCATCAACTTACAAGCCAATCCCCTGCATCCAGAATTTTCTCGTCCTGATAGTCTGCACTACAGCTCAGAAAAGTACTATCCGATAATGGGAAAATACAAGGATTACTCCTGCATGCAAGTCCAAGAATACGCTAGCCCGAATTTGCATCCAGAGAAGTCCGACGATTATGCAGAAGTGAATACTTCAGGGAATAGTGGAAACAATGATGGTGGGAACACTTCTCCAGCTCCTTATGCTACGACTACTTTGGTCTCTGGTGCAAAAAAAATCGTAAGTAAAAACTGCAACTATTAGTTCTAGATACGCATTTCATTCCGATCATTATTGTAAATCAGATCGTATCCATTTTTTTTTATGTGACCGTGCTCACCATTCTTAGATAATCAGTTTGCATCAAAAATGTTTTAAATGTCGGACGTTTCCTGCATTTCAGGTCAAATTACGTCTGCCTCTGTTTCACAGGTCACCATTTTATGTTACTTATACTACTATACTATTATACTACTGCAAGAGATTATATCTCTTGGTAGATTCAATACTATAGTCTCAAATAATTCAGATATCGTATGAAGAAGCGCTCCCAAATACTTTTATAGTAGCTACGGGTTATTTAGAGTGTGCCTTCGTGACTGTTTAAGTATGCTTAAAAATAGTCATCCCGACACCGTTGCAGCCCATACTTCTCCAAAGCTCTATGAGGAACTCGCTGAAGTATTACTTGACACCTGATATTTGTTTTATAGTGAAACATACTACCTATGTCATATTATCGCAAACTTTCCAAAATACTTGTATACTTGTGATTTCGACCAAAACCTCATGGATAACTCTGGTGTATAGATCACGAATCTAGTGTCAGTTTTTCGCCCATTATACAGAAATTCTTCCCTCTATACTTTGGAGGTTAAAATCTGTAGCTACGAGCCCCTTCCCACTTCAGTTGGCCCACTTCAAGATTTGTACCAAAATATGTCTTTATAAACTAAACACGACGAAAATATTTACTTCTAAAACAATTTACTTCTCAAAAACATTTTAAATACACTCTACATATTTGAAATCACTTAGACCTATAACTAATAGAACATCTGAACAAATAAGCAATGTGCGAATAAAGAAGAAGTTAACAAACCAACAATTGAAAGATTACCATTGGTAACATCACCTTTATTTTTTATAACGGCTGAAATTCTTTGGGGCAAAATTTGGTGTAAACAGTCCCATATTTCGTGAAGCTTTTGTCTCAGTTCGGTGATTGTACGAGCAGGATGTTGTCGTAGAACCTTTTTCATCTCGTGCCACAAAGTTTCAATAGGTGACAGATCTGGACTGCTAGAAACCCATTTCAAAGTGGTACATTATTTTCCCCATCCATTTTATAGCTTTTTTTTTGAGGTATGGCACGCTGCACCATCTTGCTGAAACACAAATCTTGGCCGGATGTCAAACAATGTCTAAACGGAAACGGATGTCTAAATTGCCAAATACTTGTTTGTATCCACATTTCCATCAATGTAATGAAGTTTTCATACTCCTTTTGATGACATACTGCCACAGACCATAATGGATGCTGGAAATTTCACTTTTCTCTTCAGACAGTCAACACGGAATGCTTCATTTCTTCGCGAATAACTCTACTGCGACTGTCACCAACACAAACTTCGAATCGGCCCTCATCACTCCATTGTATTGCCCACCATTGTTGAGGTGTCCATTGTCTATGTTCTTTAGCCCATCTAGGCCGATTTTTCTTTTGCAGTGGAGTTAATAGTGGCTTTTCTTTGGTCTCTAAACAAGTTGTGCAACTTTAGGGTTTTTACTTCACTTTTATTTATAAAAACTTACCTTGCAAGTGCTAAATCCCAGTTTGTGGGGATGTCTATGAGTTCTGGACCTCAAAATTCTCCTTCCAACAGCGTCACTCCACAGAGCACTTAATTGTAAATAATTGACACGCCTGTTTTTCACGATTATT